TTTGGGCGGGGAGAGCGTCCAGAGGTTGCACGGGAAACAGTTCAGAACTCAGGCGAGCCACCCCGTGCCATCCTCAGACGGCCTTGGACATTTGGGAATTGGGCCCTGCAAGGTTCTGATCCTTGCCTCAGGAGCAGCACGGCTGTGAGCCTTGGGACACTCCTTTACCAGAGGCACGGTGGCGGATATGTGAGAGAGCGTGATCCGCCGCCGCTTTACTGTGGAAAATTCCCCCCCCCTCTTCCTCCAGAACCGGGGGGGCCCCCCCTGCTGGAACACCTCTGTCCCCCCCCCTTCGTCCCGGCAGAGCCCCCCCCCAACCCCTCCCCGCCCCCCCCTTTCCGGAAATCTGGGGGGGTCACTACCGGCTCGAACCTCCCCCCCCCTCCTAAAAACCGAGGGGTCACTATCGGTTCGAACCACCCCCCCTCCAGAAAAAAAACGAGGGGGGTCACTACCGGTTCGACCCCCCCCTCCTAAAAACCAAGGGGGTCACTATCGGTTCGAACCACCCCACCCTCCAGAAAAAACCAGGGGGGGGTACCACTGGTTCGAACCCCCCCCTCGAGAAAATTGGTGGGGGTCATTACCGGTTCGAATCCCCCCCCCATTCACCGCCGGCGAACGACTCCCGGGTCCCCACCACCGTGCGCACCACATCCCCCAGTGCTGTCCCCAGCACCACTGTCCTCACCACCACTGTCCCCGCTGTTCCCACCACCGTCCCCGCTGTCCCCACCAGTGCCCCCACCACTGTTCCCACCACTGCCCCCACTGTGCCCGCCGCTGTCCCACTGTGCTGTCCCACTGTCCCCACCACTGTCCCCACTGGTCCCCACCACTCCCCACTACTACTGTCCCACCACCGTCCTCACCGCCGCCTTCACCATTGTCCCCACCACTACCATCCCCACCACTGTCCCACTGTTCCCATCACTGTCCCGCTGTCCCCTCACCACTATCCCCACCACCACCGTCCCCACCACTGTCCGCACCACTGTCCCACTGTCCCCGCACCACTGTCCCCACCACCGTTCCCACGACTGTCCCAGTATCCCCATGCCCACTGTGCAACTGTCCCGAGGAGCGGGAATCGTTTGCCGGCGGCGAGGGGAGGGGGGTTCGAACCTGTAGTGACCCCCCCCGGTTTTCGAGGGGGGGAATTCGAACCGATAGTGCTCCCCCCCCTTTTCATGATGGACGGGGGGGGGTTCGAACCGGTAGTGACCCCCCCCCCGTTTTCGAGGGGGGGGGGGACGGGTTGGGAACCCCCAGTGACCCCTCCAGGTTTTCCACCAGCAGCGGTATAACACGCTCTTTCGGATGTTTGTACATATGTATGGGCTCGTGCCGGACAACCTGTCTAGGAAATGATCCCAGGGATACCCCCACAGAGCAAGTTGGTGCAACGCACCTAGATTGGTGCACATAGAACTTTGCCTGGACTTCGCGTCTTGTTTCCCTATAGGGGACCGGCCCCTCAAGAATTTCAAAGGAGAGTCCCTCACGTCTCCAAGAATGCTTCAGACCGCTCCGAGACGGCCCTCCGTAGCGATGTTGGCCCAAGGGTGTTAGCGCGCGCGGATCGGCCCCGCCGTCCGCGGGGGACCTTGCCGCGAGCGCGTTCGTGCGCGATGCCGCTCCTGCCCGCGGGCGCCCTCGCGGGGGGCAGGAGCATTGCCCCGATGGGCTCCAAGAGGACCAGCTGGGTCCTCTCCCCGCTCGTGCGGCCGCACCGGGAGTCGGGGCCCGTTGGCGACCAGACCGGACGGCACGCAGACAAGCGGCCGTTGGGGGGCGTCCACGGCGCGTCCTCGCCGACCCAGCGCGGCAGCGTGGGCGCCGCGGGGCGCCACGACGCATCGCCGGCCGCGGGGCCCGCGCTGGAGCGTGGCGTCAGGAAGGTGCGCTTCGGCGGCGTGGAGTCGGTGCGCGAGGTCTCGCCCAGTTCGAGCGCCTCCTCGCAGGATTCGCCACGGCCGCCCCATTCTCCGCAATCGCCAGGCGGGCACGTCGACTCGAGCAGCCCCTTCTTCGGAGGCTGCCTGAAGGCGGCGCTGGCTGGCGATCGATCCAGGCTGCCCGACCAGGGCTGCGCGGCCAGCCCGAAGGTACTGAGCATCTGAGCATCCGCGCGCCGCGCCCCCCCTGGGCCAGCCCTGGGGGGACGCCTGGGCCAGGGAGACGGGGGTAGAGAAGGAGGATGAGGATGAGCAAGATGTTCACGAGGAGGCATCAGCACTGCGTTGGCCACTGTCTCGGCCACCGTGCCGCCCACTGTGCCGGCCATGTCGGGCACAGCGATAGCATTTTGACCCGCGTTTCCACGGCCGCAGCCAGGTAGTGCTGGCGAGCGTGGCATGTTTTAATACTACGCAAGTTGTCTGCGCGTGAGCATGGCTGACTCCCTGACTGTCCACGCGCTCACGCTATTGGCCTGACTTACTGAGTGTATATATGTATACGCGTGCGCAGCCACAGCATGTTTTGTCTCGTCGCCACGAGAGCGCATATCGGCTTATCTAGTTGCTAGGCACATCCCGTTGACTCTGGGGCTGCTGGAAGCGCGAGTCGCGGCCGTTCACCACGCAGCAGCCGTGGCGCAAATCTCGGCTCGCCAAAGTTGTCTGCAATTCAATCGGTTTACCAAGGTCGCTTTGCCCCCCATTCTCATCCTGCCACTGCGCAGGAGCGGTTGGCGTCGGTTGCAGAGCAGAGGGCAATTTGTCGGACACTGGCTGCCTTCACGGAGCACCAACAACTGTGGTGGATGTGTCTGTACCTTCCAGTGAGCGGACGGCTTCTCTTCGGGCCCGATCGGCACGGCGAGGAGCCCGGGCAAGCGCCGGCGGCAACGACGAGGGTGGGCAGGCTCAGGGGGGGCACACGCGCCGACCGCCCCCCAAGTCCATGCACCGCCTGCAGGGTGTCTGAGAGCCCACCCCCGCCCAGGAGCCTCGTCCTCCTCCTCCTCCTCCTCCTCCTCCTCCTCCTCCGCCGCTCTGTCGGCGATGCGTCGCCGATTGTCAATTTCCCCCCCCCCCCCCCCCTTGAGCCAGCTCCCGAGGTTGTTGTTGGCAGCTCGCGCCCGTACCACTCTTAGCTTCACTTGCTCGGCGCCATCAGCGCCGCCCCACGGGGTCCGGCCGAGAGCCAAGAGATCGGCGCGGACCCTCGATACTTGTATCACAGGACGTCGCGCACTATCTCGCTAGTATGCGGCAGTGCATGTCGGAGCTTTCGCTAATTCGCTTGCATGGGATCGTCCTAATTGCTTTGTCTGATGTTTTTTTGGGCGTCATACGTTGGCCCGAATGTAATGTTATTTGATAGGCCCATGGCAGTGCTCTTGTGTGAGCCAGCATGGCGAGACAGCTTACATGCCATTGCCATGCTGTTGCCATGCGATCGCCATGCTATTGACATGCAGTTGACATGCCATTGCCCTGCTGTTGCCACGCAGTTGCCGTTCAGTTGTCATGCAGTTGCCATGCTATTGCCATGCGATTGCCATGCTGCTGCCATGCAGTTGCCATGCTACTGCCATACAGGTGCCATGATATTGTCATGTTTACACTCGCTGGCCATACGGTTTCACCAGCGCGATGTGAGGGTCAAGGGAAAGCACATCGATGCCCTGTTTAGGTGGCGATGTTTGCGCGTCTCTTCGTAATTACCCTGCATGCGTTCGATCACAAAGAACAAACAGAAAAAAAGGCGCAGAGACGGCCCACCAGACGCCTCAGACGGCTCCCAGTGGCCTCCCCATGGCACCAGGAGGCCCGGAGGGCTTCACGACTAAGAGGCCCCGAGAGAGTGTCAAAATTGTCCAAGTACGCCCAGGGGCTACAAGTGGTTCGGAGAGAGGTTCCGACAGCCAACATATTTCACGCTTCGTGAACTTAGAAACCTGTGGGAGTCTTTTGGATCCATTTCGGAGCTCTCCAGAGGCACATTTAGGAGCCCTCAAGGCACTCTTGGGTCTTCTTGAGGACCATGGGGCCGTCTGGGAGGCCATAGGTAAAAGCAGGTGCCTCTTGGAGGCCAGGGGCCACTCTTGTTTACAATCCGATTAATCCACCCGTCGGAGACCCCCTCATCGCCCCTTGTGGCGCTGTTGGGGCCATCTTGGAGCCCTCTTGGGCCCCTCTTGCCTCTCCTGGGCGATCTTAGAGCCATCCTGAGGCCTCGGAAGCCCATCGCAAACGCAAAGACGAGAAGGCCAATTTCATTGATTGTCTGTCCGACGGTTTGGAGTGTCTTTGGCCTCTCGACTGCGTGCCCGGAAGGCTCCGAGGCCACCTCGAGCCGTCTTGAGGCATATTGGAGACATCTCGGACGGTATCGTCAGTCATCTTGAGCTATAGTATGTCACGTTCGATGGCGTCTGTTGCAAGATGGGGCCGTAAAGGGCCCATCATTGGCCATCTTGGACGCCTTAACTCGTCGCGACCTTTCCCTTCCAGGCCTAGGAGATTGGGGGAGGGGTAATGCGGGGAAGAGGGGTATTATGGCATTGCAAGAGCGAATTCGTGACACCACATACGCCCAGACGGCTGTTAGTATTGCCTAAAACTTGCACGACTTCAAGAGTGCGTTGGAGGACTCCAGAACCGCCCAAAACAGCCCCGCTGGTATAACCATGGGCGATAACCGGCCTAAAGTGAAGTTGCGTTCAATCCGACTTCATCCTGGGTTCAAGTGCGGCAAATCTGGGCCGTTGCCCCTCCAGTCGGGCTTTCTACCCTTCGGAAGACGTCCCAGAGTTGCTTCCTAGCTCTCTCAGAGGCAACGATAAGATCAGAAAGAGAAACGTCGACCTAGAGTCAGCGATACATCGCGAGTCCGCATGTTCCGCATGTTCCTAGGCGGTGTGGGGCTATCAGGCCCCTATCGGCGATCAGTGCGCGATTGGGGATCGTTGCGTCCCCCCCTGAGCCTACCCGCCTTATCGTTGCACCGGACTCTGCGTTCTGTGCCCTGTGCAGGAGATCCGCCAGATGCGCCACCCCCCCGCCGTGGTCCGGCGCACCCTCGAGGTGACGTTCCTGCTGCTCAACGCCTCCAAGGCGCCCGCGAGGCCCCCCCCCCCCTGCGCGGCGCCCCTCCCCCCGAAAGCAGCGCACCGGATGTCACTCTTGCACAGGGTGGTGGGTGGCTCCTTTCGGAGGGGGCCAGCCCTGACGACGTCGGACTTCTCTGGAGTTTCTCTTAATTGGTTATGGCCTCCTGGGGAACTTTTCGTCACCACGGCTGGATCCGCCTTGAAAAAGTCAGTATGGACCCCGAGAGGGGTCCTGGGACCGATTGTAGGCGAATTTGGACCTGGCGAGAGAGCCGGCGTTGTCTGCATTGACCTTTCCGATCGAAGTGTGCACCCGAGACGTGGACGACGGTAGCGAGGAAGAGGACGACAGGGGGTGGAGGACGACGGCACGACGGCGGTTTTCGCAATGTATGCAGTGCTCGCGGTTCTGGCAGCAGCGATCTAAGAGACCTCAGGGAGGACTAGAGTAAATCCAGGATGCATCAGCAATATTGCAATGTACCTTCCCGTCCAAAGTCCCCTGCGCATGGACCTGTCATTGATTTCAAATTGAGCTGCCATGCTGTATTTAGCACGGCATGTGAGCATGCGGGAACTTAGTATTTATTACAGTGTCGAGCGAGTGCTCAGTTTGAAAAATTACCCAATTGCCTGCTGCAGGCCCAGCCAGCGTGCCAGCTGAGTGGCGACTGTTCGAGGGTGGGAGAGCTGTGATGAGGATGAGGATGATTGCGATGACGATAGCGATGACGATGATGATGATGATGATGATGATGATGATGATGATGTTGTTGTTGATAGTGACGATGGTGGTGATGTTGATGTTGATGGTGATAGTGGTGGTGATGATGATAATGTTGAGGTTGATGTTGAGGTTCAGGATGATGATGATGATGATGATGATGATGATGATGATGATGAAGTTGATGCTGATGATGATGATCCTGATCATAATCATGATGACGATGAGGGGAAGGAGGAGGAGGGTGGTGGTTGTGGTGGTGATGGTGATGATGATGATCTTGATGTGGAGGAGGAGGAGGGGGAGGAGGAGCAGGAGGATGAGGAGGAGTTGGTGGGCGGTGATGATACCAATGAGTATGCGGACGCTAATGCTGATGATGGTGGTGCTGATGATGAGAATGGTGGTGATGATTCTGATGATGGTGCTGGTGATTGCGATTGTGATGGTGATGATGATGATGATGATGATGATGCTTACGATAACGTCGACGAGAATGCTGATGATGATGATGATGCTGAAGATGAGGATGAGTATGAGGATGGGGATGAGGATGGGGATGAGGATGAGGATGAGGATGCTGATGATGATGGTGATGGCGATTATGATGCCGATGATGACGAGGATGATGCTGATGATGACGATGATGATGATGACGATGATGATGACGATCATGCTGATGATGACGATGCTGATGACGACGACGATGATGATGATGTTGAGGTTGATGTTGATGATCATGATGATGCTGGCGACGATGACGATGACGATGATGATGATGACGATGGTGATGATGATGGTGATGAAGATGAATATGATGATGATGATGATGATGATGATGATGGTGATGATGATTATGACGATGCTGACGATGCTGATGAGGATGCTGATGCTGATGATGATGCTGATGATGACGATTACGATGACGATGATGATGATGATGCTGCTGCTGCTGATTATGATGATGATAATGATTGTGATGATGATACTGATGATGATGATGATGATGATGATGATGATGATGCTGATGCTGATGCTGATGCTGATGATGATGATGATGATGATGATGATGATGATGATGATGATGATGCTGTTGATGATGATTATGATAACGCTGATGATGACAAACAGGAGGATAAGGAGGAGGAGGAGGAGGAGGAGGAGGAGGAGGAGGAGGAGGGGGAAGTCCGTCACACGTGACACGTTTCGTTTTCATTATTTGATGAGTTCTGTTGGCACTTGTTTGGCTCGTTGTGGGGCTGACTTAGTCTCCTGTGAGGCAGTCTGGTGGGCCCCGTGGGGCCCTCTTGGGCCGTTTCGGGGCCCTCTTAGGGTGTATTTTGTTCTCTTGGGCCGTTTTGGGGCCCTTCTGGCCGTATGGTGGGTGTCTGGGGGCCGTCGTGAGGCCGTCGCGGGGCCGTCGAAAGGCCTTCTGAGGACGTCTTATGGAGGCCCTCTTGGGACGTTTTGGAGCCGTCTTGGATGCCTCTTGGGACCTCTTGAACCGTCTTGGGATCCTTTCGGGGGGCCTCTTGGGCCGTCTTGTAGCAATCGTAGAGGCGCCTGGGGCTGGCTTAATCTGACGGAAGCCCGAAAAGGCGAGAATGCGACACATTGTTGAAACAGTATTGGCATCAATTATTTGTGGTTTCTTCGGGCCCTGTTGAAGGTCCTCTTGTGGCCCTTTTGAGCCCTCGTGGGGACATCTTGGGCAGCCTCGAAGCCATATTGGACCGCCTGGGGACCATCTTGGGCCGTCTTCGAGGCACCTTGGACCATCTTGGTTCCCTGGTTGCCTGCACGATGGCCCGTCTTCAGCGCTCGGGGCGCGGATCCGTCGTTTTGGCGAGTAGTCGAGGCCTTGGGAGCGCGGACCCGTGGTCTTACGAGAGACCGCGGCCTCGGGAGGGGGGCGCCGTGCATACAGGGAGACGATGGTGAGGGGGCGGTCGCTCGAGCGAGTACAGGAACCTTATCAGACAGTCCTTGGCATTCGTCCACGCCTTGACGTGTCGTGGGTGGACAGACCTCCTACCCTGACACGTCGATTAGCGAATTGACCGTTCTCGGTTCGAGAGAGGGCGTCGCGGCCGTCATTTTTGCGGGTCCAGGCCCGTCGGTTTCGGTCTTAGGCCCTTTTTCACCAAAGGGAGGTTTACTAAAGGGAGGTTTGTCCACCGCCGAACGTGCACAAGGCACGGTGGCGGACTGTCATGAGAGCCCGATGTTGAAGCGAAGTTGCCCTCCATCTTTGCAATGCGTGTTTCTTGAGTTGTTCGTCGTATGTGCTTGAGGCCTGTTCAAAATGAGTTCTCCATCCGTGTAGATGTTCAATGACTTATACAGCGAATTTTGCGTGCCATCAATGACAGGGTTATGTTTGAAAGCGGCGTTACCTAAATCCGTGTTAGCCGTTGGAAGCTGTTACGGCGAATGTGTACGTTGTCAACGCGGTTCGTATGTTTAACACATCAATGCGCACATCCAGGTTTAAATGACAGAAGTAAGAACATTCAACAAGCACCACGACACAACACACTATCAAACCACAACGCCAAGAGCTCAGACAATCAGGAAACAGCGCACTCCACCCGTGCATGCAGGTATTAGAAAAGCTGAAGACGAATGTGCAAGGCATTACGGTTAGATGCACATGTTGAACATCATCCGCCCTCTATCGGTTTAGTGGTTTGGCAGTTCGAGCTGCATGGCCGCCGGACGTGCCGTGCGGAAGGAGGGCGGGACCGTGTGGTCGTCTGGAGTGGGGGAGGAAGAGTGAGCAGGAGGAGCAGCACGCAGGAGGAGAGGGATGGGCAGGCTGCAGGCCGAAGGCGGAAGCCACGGAGGCCCCGTCGTTGCCAGGCTGCGCCACACGGGGGCGGGCCCCCGCTCCGCGGGGCCGAAGGTCCACTGAGCCTGGCCACAGGCCGTCGTGCCAAGCGGGAGCACCACGACTCCACCCCATGGCCTGTCCCGGCCGCGGGGCAGAGGGCCCCCCGCTCGCGAGCCGAGGCCAACCGCGGCGACGCTGAGGCACCCCGCCGATGGACCGTGTCGGCGGCGGCGGCCGCTCGGGGCGAGGGGCCGGCTTTCTGCAGCTGGCGTCGCGCTCCGTGCACAGAGGTCTTGCCACGAGGCTGGCTTTTCTGTGACGGCCATGCGGCGCGGGCCCTCGCACCCCCCCTCTCCTCTCCCACCCCATGGAGCAGATCTTGGCTCTTTTTGGTGCCTGTCTCAAGCAGGTGGAGTCTCCCCTTTGGGGCGCACTGGTGCAGACAGACGCATCAAGCAGGGCCATCCGGCTGAGGAGATCGGCGATGTTCTCCGCCATCACCCAGGCGACACCCAGGGCCGCGGTGTCCACGGATTGCCGATCTCGCAGCTTCCAGGAGGGCGGTGGTGACCTCCAGCGTTGATGTCGTTTCTCCTGTGAGGCCCAGCACGCTTGCCCCTGCCTCCTCCGTGGTGCTCGCTCCCGCGGCTCTCACCCCCAGGCCCCAGACAGGGGCCACATGCGAACCCTACCCCTACCCCCGACCAATTTCTGAGGGGGAGGGCGGGGTTCACCTCGTTCGGGAGCTCCCGAGCGAAGGGAACCCCGCCCCCCCCTGAGAAATCGTGGGGGGCAGGGGCAGGGTTCGCATGCGGCCCCCTGCCGGAGAGCGTGCCGAGGCTGCAGCTGCGGGCGGTGTGGCGGGCGCCTCCGTCGGCCGCGCCGCGGCCTCCCCCGGAGCCGACGGGCCACCGGTCGGAGGGCACCAACTATACACCAACACCGATCCTGGCCCAGGGTGATGCTGGCCAGGATCGGTGTTGGTGTATAGTTGGTGTCTTCCTAACCGGAGCCCGCTGCCTCTCCCGGTCGCGCTGCGAGTGCTCGGCGCCATGGGAGCCGGACGGACGAGGATCGTGGGGATATCGGAGGAGGAAAAGGTATTTCCCGCTGCCGCTACCCGACGAGCGCGTTCCACGACTCGCAAAGTACCTACTCGCAATGCAAATGGCCAGGATCCCCCGCGGGGGATCGACGATACATTACATCAGAGCAGACAGGTGTTCTTCGGAGGTTTGCGAGTAGGCACTTTGCAAGTAGTGGAACGCGCTCGGCGAGCTAGGACCCTGCCCCCGTTTTCCCCTTTCTGGGCACCGCTGGATTCGCCTCGAGATTCTGGTCAGAACTTACCGCAGGAGAGGTCCAGGGCGTAGCGGTAATTGGTACCTCTTGGTTTCCCCAGACTGGGGAAACAGACCATGACATGGGCATGAAAACTGGGAGGTCCGCGCGGATCTCTTGGATCGGCGTTGGGGCCACCTGGCGGCGCTTCTGGCGCCGCCGAGGCGACGAGGCGGCGCGCGGTTTCTCTATGTGCGTGCTCGAGCGGGACGCGGGTCTGGGTGGGTGGCGTCTGGGACCTCACGAGGGCCCGCCCTGAGCGCCACGGCCCAGGGCCGGCGTCCGAGAGCACGGAGGCCGGGGCCGCGCCTCCCCGCGGCGGTCGACGGGAGAAGCCAAGCCTCCTCCTCCTCCTCCTCCTCCTCCTCCTCCTCCTCCTCCTCCTCCTCCTCCTCGCGAGAGTCCGGGCCCTCCACGAACAAAAGTCCTCGAGAGGGCGGGGCCCCCCCGCAGAGCGCGACGCCCGAGGGATTTGGACGCCCGCAACGGGTACGGAAAGACTTGGGTACAGTGCTCAACAACGGATGCTGTCCCAAACCAGCAGCGGCCGCTGTCGGGCAGGCGGCCTTCTCTGTCTCAAATGGACAGGCCGCGGCGACACCGACAGCGAGTCCTGTTCAGAATGAGCAGGAACTGCTGTGGGGCATTGTACCCATTCTTTCCGTACCCATGTCGGGCGTCCAAAAGGGAGAAGGTGGCGAGGAGTGCGGAGGGAGGGGCGCCGCCGTCACGGTCGCCACGCGCGGTGCCGTCTCTCTCGTCTCGCGCCCGGCTCGCCGAGGGAAAGGGGGCGGCGCGGGCGCGCGCGCAGCCGTCCCGCTCTCCCTGCCTCGACGTCTCGAGGGGCGTCCGAGAGGGGAGAACGCAACTCCGGAGGAGAAAAAACACACACAGACACAACTGATCGTCGATCCCCCACAGAATATGGGAACATATATGGGAAGGTGGGGGGAAGACAGAAACCCAGGAAATATGGGACACTATGGGGGGGATCCTGTCAGTTGTGTGTATTTATTTGTGTGTTTGTGGGCCCCTTCATGGAGGGAGGACGGGGCGGGAGGGGTCGCCGTCATCGAGCGTCGGGAAAGGCGGTGCGCCGTCCCCGGAGAACTCGACGCACAGCTCGGCCCCCTTGAGCAGGCCGGCCCTCGACCCCCGAGCGAGGGCTGGTGGGGGCAGCTCCTGCAGCAGGGCTGGACCTAAACGGTGTTTTTTTGGTGATTCCGTGGTTTCGATGTCGTTTTGCGTCAGAGGTGGATGGAAGACAAAACGAGGGAAAACGAAGACAGAACGAAGACGAACAACATAACGAAAACGAAAACAGAAAAACAGAACGAAAACCAAAAACGAAAACGAAAAATATAACGAAAATAACAAAACGAAGACAGAACGAAAACGAAAAGCACCGCTTAGATTCAGTCCTGTCCTGCAGCAGCGGCGGGGGAGCGCGCGGGTGGCGGCCATCGGCAGCTCGTCGAGCAGCACGCTGGCCGCGCGCGGCCTCCCTGCTCGCGGCAATCCGCGCTCGGTGGGCGTCGGTGAGGGGGGTGTGCTGGAGGGAAGGGGGGGGGAGCTGGGATGAGGAGGAGGAGGAGGAGGAGGAGGAGGAGGAGGAGGAGGACGGCGACGACGACGGCGACGAGGTCGACGAGGTCGACGACGGTTGGTGATGCAGTCGGTGACGGTGGTGATGCGGATTCGATCTCGGTATGGTGGATGATGAAGAGGTCCGGCGACGACACAGGCCGTTTGGACGACCTGGTCAATGTTTTGAGGGCGCGAATGGTTTCCTCTCTCCGGCTTGAAGCGGCCGTATAAGGTTGGCGGCTTTGATGATGAGATCGTGGTGGGATTACGGTGCCTCATCATCCCGTCACCGTTGTAACACCGTCACCACGATGAGGTCACGGTGCGCACAAGGTGCGGACCCCCCCCGGGAGCCGAGCGTCAGTATCTTCGAGCCGATCCCCGCACCCACCAGGCCACGCCAGTCCCTGACGTCAGCCGACATGTTTTTGTTCAATCCACGGCCCCAGAGGTCCCAGATCAATGCTTGATGGCCGCGGGGCTCGAGAACAGCTCCTGAGGGCCGAAATCCAGAAACAAACGTCCCCAGACATCCGTCGTTTTTTAAATCTTGTCAATGTGGACCCTAGATGTTGCTTGCACAATTCTTCACGCTTCGCATGTCCCCACCAGGACACGGTTGGGGTCTTGCATCGCGCCACTTTGGCAGCGTAATTACTTCTCCCTGAGTGCTGGGTCCCCATCAGGCTCCCTGGGCAGCAGCACCTATGCACCCGCCGCTCGGCGCCGGCCGCGGTACACGCGCGCCTCCGGCCAATTTGTAGCGGCCGCAGCCCGACCGTTACCCGCCGCCGCTGGCGCTTCCGCCCGCGGCTGTAAAAAAACAAAAGTGTCCCCACCAGCCCCTTTCAGAAACCCTGCCCGTGAGAGCTGACGGGAACAGAGACGAAGAGACACATGTAGTGAAACATAGCGGGCAAGCAGGGTGCACAGAGAGATCTCCGGGAGCAAGGGGGTGGTCTTGGAGTGCCTCCTCGGGCCATCCTTGGGGCCCGCGTGGGGTCGAGGGAAGGAGGAGGAGGAGGAGGAGGAGGAGGAGGAGGAGGAGGAGGAGGAGGAGGAGGACGACGGCGACCACCACGACGGCGAGAAAGAGGAGGAAAAGGAACAGGAAGACGAGGGCAAAGACGAGGACGAGGCGGCGGAGGAGGAGGAGGAGAACAACGAGGACGAGGACAGAGCCCTCAAAGTCGCCTCTTGGAGCCTTCTTGGGACTCTTTTGTGGGATCTTGGGGTCCTCTTGGGGCTCTTTTGGGGGGTCGCGGGGCCCTCTGGGGGGGTCCTTGGGAGCCTGGGAGGGCCTCTTGGGGACATCTTGGAGGCCATCAATCAACACGGGGGGGAGGTCCTACATGTTCCCCCCCCCCCGCGGCCGTCAACATCGCCTCTTGGGGCGCTCTTGGGCTTCTCTTGCGCGCTCTTAGGGGCGTCTGGGGAACCTCTTGGGCCCCTCTTGGGTCTCTCTTGGGCCATCTAGGGCCTCAGAGTGCGTCGGGAGCGAAAAGGCTAGGAGTCACACATCACAAATCACTGATTCTCCAGGTTTTGACTGATTTGGGCTTTGGGGGGGCGTCCCGAGTGGGCTCCGAGAGCACTGGGGATCGTTTCGTGCCCCCCGTCGGGCCTCCTGGAGGTAAGTTGGAAGCTGTCTTGAACCATCGTCGGCTGTCTTGAGCCAACTTGGAGGCCATCTTGGAGCATCGGGCGGACGCCCTCTTGGAGCCATCTTGGGCCATCTTGGGCGCACTGACACCTCGCGGCCCCCCCAAAAAAATCATCAGGGAGGGGGGAGGGTACCCCTCCCCGAAGTGAGGAGTGCTTGTGGAAGAGCGATGCCATCGCTAGACCACCTTAGCCCGACTTGCTGGTGGGATTTCCCCCGGGCCTGTTTTCCATCCTGACCCGTTTTTTGACTGTCCCGGGGCCCGTTGAGGGCCCCGGGAAGCTGAACATGGCCGACCACGGGCCGCTCCAAGTTTTTCGGAGCTTGGGGTCGCCAGGTTCGGGCAGCGCCGGAGATCTGGGGTGCGATGGGCAGCGGTGCGCCGATGCTCCGCGGGGCTGCCCCCCCCCCCGGGGCGAGGCCGGCGCCCCCCGCCTGGGAGCGCGTGCAGAGGACCAAGGGCCCGCCGCCCCCGCGCGCGTGCCGCCCGCCGCCTGGTGGAGTGCATGCGTGAGTGGTCCGTCATGTCGGCGGCACCCCTCCTCCTCCTCCTCCTCCTCCTCCCTCCTCCTCCTCCTCCTCCTCCTCCTCCTCCTCCTCCTCCTCCTCCTCCTCCTCCTCCTCCTCCTCCTCCTCCTCCTCTCCTCCCCCCTCCTCCTCCTCCCCTCCTCCTCCTCTCTCCTCCTCCTCCTCCTCCTTCTCCTCCTCCTCCTCCTCCTCGTCCGTCATGCCAATGCCACGTGTGCGTGCCCCCCCCCCGCCAGGGGCGACCGCGCGCACCGAGAAGTCTTCAAGTGACGAGCGAACAACTCTCACACCCATACCCAATAGGAGGGTCGAAAAAGGAGGGGAACTGGCTACGGGTACGGGTGCGAGTTGTCGGACCCTGGGGGAAGCTCCCGTTCGAGCGGGGACCCCCATCCGGCAACACGCACCCATAGCCTCCTCCTATGGGTATGGGTGCGTGTTGTTCGATCGTCATAAAGCACGTAGCACCCCGCAGATGCGGATAGGAGTGCTGGGTGGCGGCGGGGACGCCGGCAGTTTGCGAGACCCTGGGGAAGCCCGCCGCAGGCGCCGATCTTTGAGTTAAACCAATGTGGGTAGTTCGCGGGTGGGTCGAAATTGTGTCGCGCGTGGGTCGCGGGTGGGTCGCTGTTGGGGCCGCTGATGGGTCGCGGGTGGGTCGCGGGTGGGTCGCAGGTGGGTCGCGGGTGGGTCGCAGGTGGGTCGCGGGTGGGTCGCAAGTGTGTCGCAGGTGGGTCGCGGGGTTGGTCGCGGGTGGGTCGAGTGGTGGGTCGCGGGTGGGTCGCGGGTGGGTCGCGGGTGGGTCGCGGGTGGGTCGCGGGGTGGGTCGCGGGTGGGTCGCGGGGTGAGTCGCGGGGTGGGTCGCGGGTGGGTCGCGGGGTGGGTCGCGGGTGCCACGGCGAAAACAACAAACCACAACCTCACTAACCACACCAACAACAACAGCAACAACAACAACACCAACACCAACAACATCGACAACAAGAACAGCAATACCACCACCATCAACACCAACAACAACCACAGCAACAAAAGCAGCACCATCACCACCACCAACAAACACGCAACAAGCAGAATCCTCACCACGGATCCCCACTTCAGTCGCTCACCCAGGGACAACGAATGACCGTTCGGCCCCCGTAGTCTGCTATGCGTCGTGGCGGGCGCTTTCTGGCCGTACCGTTCGGGAAACGATTTACACAAAGGATGATTCTACGTAGCACCCCGCATAGGCGGATCAGAGTGACGGGGCGGTGGGGACGTCGGCAGTTTGCGAGACTCGGGGGAAGCCCGCCGCAAGCGCCCAAGTTTCACAACTGATGCAACGAGCCCGCCGCAGGCGCTGATCTTTTCGTTATACCAATGTGGGTAGGTCGCGGCTGGGTCGTTGTTGGGGCCGCGGGTGGGTCGCAAGTGGGTCGCGGGGTGGGTCGCAAGTGGGTCGCAAGAGGGTCGCGGGTGGGTCGCGGGAATGGTCGCGGGTGGGTCGCGGGTGGGGTCGTGGGTGGGTCGCGGGTGGAATTCGGATGGGTTGTTGTTGGGGCCGCGGGTGGGTCGCGGGTGGGTCGCGGGGTGGGTCGCGGGGTGGGTCGCGGGGTGGGTCGCAGGTGCGTCGCGGGTGTCACGACGACAAGAACAAACAACCACCGCAACAACAAGACCAACAACAACACCAACAACAATAGCACCAACAACAATAACACCAGCACCAACACCACCAACACCAATAACATCGCAACCAACAACAACACCGCAACAAGCATAATCCCCACCACGGATCCCCACTTCAGCCACTCACCCAGGGACAATGAATGACCGTTCGGCCCCCTCACTCTGTTATGCGTGTTGGCGGGCGCTTTCTGGCCGTACCGCCCAGGAAGCGGTCTATAAAAACATGGTTCTACGTAGCACCCCGCAGATGCGGATAAGAGTGAGGGCGCAGTGGGGACGTCGGCAGTTTGCGAGACTCTTGAGGAGCCCGCTGCAGGCGCAAAAGTCTCACACATTATACAGCGAGCCCGCCGCAGGCGCCGATCTTTTCTTTTAACCAATGTGGGTAGGTCGCGGGTGGGTCGCGGGTGGGTCGCAGGTGGGTCGCGGGTGGGTCGCGGGTGGGTCGCAGGTGGGTCGTGGGTGGGTCGTGGGTGGGTCGTAAGTGGGTAGCGGGTGGGTCGCAGGTGGGTCGCGGGTGGGTCGCGGGGTGGGTCGCGGGTGGGTCGCGGGCTGGGTCGCGGGCTGGGTCGCGGTGTGTGTCGCGGGCGGATCGCGGGTGGGACGACGTTGACCAACAACAACAACACCAACAACAATAGCAACGACAACAATAGCAGCAATATCAACATCAACAGCAACACCAACAACAACCACAGCATTAACAACAACACCAACAACACAGTAAGCAGAAATCTCACCACGGATCCCCACTTCAGCCACGCACCCAGGGACAATGTGAATGACCGTTCGGCCCCCTCATTGTGATATGCGTCGTGGCGGGTGCTTTCTGGCCGTACTGTTCTGGAAGCGGTCTACAAAAAGGATGGTTCTTTTGTATGTTCGGGTCGGGCGCACGCCTTGTGCATCCCTTTCATGGTGCGGGTCCATTGGGGTTCCCCGGTCGCCGAAGACGATGCGATGTCAGCGTCTTGCGCGCTTGCGTTCGGTCCCCCCCTGCGGGCCCCCCAAAGACCGCGCACCGAAGGTTGTTCCTATCCAGGGACCTCCTTGCGCGTAGCCGAGAGAGGCATTCCCTCCGCAGAAGTCGCCATGAAGCAAGTGGCTCTTGGCGTCGGCCGGGTGTCTGAGGAGGCCCAGCGCTGGTTCCCGCGAGCAGGAAAGGGGAGGGCGAGGCTCTAGGCTCTGGGTTCGAGAAGTTGTTTCGCCTTTCCTGGCCTCGGAGGGCCGTCGTCGGGCCCAGGGACAGTAACAAATTGTTGCGGGGTGAGAAACTAAACCAGATGTACCCCAGGAGGGGTCCAGGGACAGAGTTTGAGCAGAGTTGCTCTTATCCCCCCTTCTTGACATATTTTCTTCCCGCCGCAGAATTCGCCATGAAGCAAGCGGGTTCTGACCCAGACATTTTCGCGTCGAGAAGCAAACATCGCGACGGGAGGTGTTGGATAAGCAGTTTTCGGCCTTTTAGGGCCCTCGCCGGGCCTCGGGGCTGTCGAATACGACTCAGGATAAAGCGCTGGCCTGGGGTGCGTGTGGGAACTTCGGGAACCGCGCATTGAAACAACCAAGACATCGCATGTCTGGGGAGGGAAGCGGGCTCTGGGTTTTTCGCCGCTGTTGGCTCCCAGGGTAAAGTCGGGCCTGTCCCTCTATAGGAGGAGTGCTCAAACATAGTCAACAAATCGTATGGGGACTACTTCCGGAGTATTTTTAACCACTGGGGGATATGTTTTGACAATTTTTTGGTTTTCGTCCAAAATCCCCCTGCAGGGGGACAGGCCCGACTTGATCCCAGGGCCCTCCACGGGCCCCTGGACTGTCAGAAAACCTCGGGACGAAGGAGCGGTCCTGGGCGAAGGCCCCGGGAGGTGCAGGACGCTTGTCGCCGCATGCCAGGGGAGGCGTTTCCCCCCCGTCTCGGTCGGGGGCCGTTGCCCCCAGACCGTGGGGCGTGCAGTTCTGGACTTGGACGACGCCCTCACACGCCCGACCCCGGTGGCTACCCATGCTGAAGAGGGATCGGCGCTGAGGTAAGGACAATTTTGGGCCGAGGAAGGGGGCTCTGGTCTTCGGGCTGCTCCTCGGATGTTTGGGTCGGGGATTTCATTTCGTGGCCGAGGCTCGCCGTGGCCAGAAGAGTCCCTTCGCTCCCTGCTTGGGCGTTCCGCGTGGTAACGCGATGACTGTATACACACGGCCAGGCTTGGCCAGGGCCATTCTGGCCTCTGGGAGTCCAGGAAGGTTCAGGAGGGACAAATCCTGACCAACACACAGAAAGTGTTAGACAAGAGATGGAGGGGGAAGGGGAGGCATCCAGAAAACATGGACCAAGCTTTGAGATCCTGGAGCTTGTGTCGACTTCTGTGTGTGTGTGTGTGTCCCTGGGCTCTTGGAGTGGTGTAAGGACACGTTACTGGCCTCGGGCAGGGAGGGGCCCAGCCCGGCCCTGGTCAGGCCTGGTGGTGGCGTGCAGGTGCCCTTGGTGATTGTCTTCTCAGTCATTGGTTTGCCGAGCGGCGCGGGCCCTCGCCACCCCCTCCTTCCCCTCCTGTGTCGGGGGTGGACAGAACCCCCAACAGTGACACGTCGATTCGTGAATTGTCCGTTTTCGGTTCTCGAGAGGGCGCCGTGGCCGTCATTTTCCAGGCTTGCGCCCGCCAGGTTTGGGCCTCAGGTCGTTTTCACTAAACCACGTTTCGCTAAAGGGGGGTCTGTCCATCCCCGACTGTAGCAGATCTTGGCTGTTTGGGACGTCTGTTCACGCAGGTGTTGCAGACAGTCGCATCAAGCAGAGGTCCGGAGCCAGACCCCCCCCCCTCCCCCCCCCCCCATTCCGCCCAATGTCGAGACGCCGAGATAGGAAACGTCAACTTGCGTATTTCAAGATGGCAGCTTGCCCAGGCCTCGGGCACATCTGCGCAGTCAAGTATGGTTCGCGCACGTTGGCTTCCATGATCCGTGTGCAGGCGATTTGGGAGGCCCTTCTCTTGAACACCGTCAGCAACACGGAATTCTGGGCAGGTCACTCGCGGGGGCCATGAGATAATCACGTTTCGTGCTTCGTGGTTTTGGCCTGAGACGTGTCTTTCCCCACGTGGGCGCGAACGCGCGACGAGGGCGCGCGAGGGGCAGAGAAAACGTGCCCCGCCGCGCACCGTGCTCTGCGAGCCAAGCGCCTCAGAAATATGCGGCATGGTCGTGACCGCTGCGGGTGAAGGCGCACGCCGCAAAGACGACGCGCGCTGTTTTATCTAGGTCGCATTGCAGGAATAGGGAACGGACTCAACTCAACTCACCATGGTAGCTTGCTGGAAGCTGCTGCAAATGCAAGCATAATCACACATATGGAGGCATCACGGCTGATGACCACCTCATCTGGGGCGAAATGGCACGCGTGCGGCCGCGGCCGCAAGCGCGCGCCCACGCCCGAAGTAGTCCTGCTCGCGCTGCCCGTCGCCTGCGCCCCAGGCGCTCAGGCCGCGGCCTGCCCGCTGTTCGACGGGCTAAGCGTCGCCTTCTCCTCGTCTAAAATCTGCTCGAGCTCCTGCTCCAACGACGTCGTCTTCCTGCTGCTCTTGATGGGGGTCGGCCACGGGGAGCAGAGATCAATGCAGCCGCTGCTGCTTGGCGGGAGCATGAGGCTCTTCCACAAGCCGCGCTCGACCTTGGTGCGGTGAGGAGACGGCGAACGCGCGGCGGGCGCCGCGTCGCCGTCACCATCGCTGCCCATGGCGAAACCGAGGCCCAACGCGTCGGTGCTGCGCCCCCGCGTCGGCCTCGCCGTCGCCCGTGCCGCAGCCCAGGCCTATGCAATCTGCCTCGTCGGCATCGGGGTTAGGCGGCGGCGCCCGCGCCCCTGACAGAGCGACTGCTGCCGCGTCGGTGCGGCCGTCGAGGGCGTGAACGGCGGCGGCGGTTTGGCGCGCCTTCATTTGCTTGGACATGATTTGGGCCACATCTCTTCCCGAGCGCAAGCAAGCGCTCGAACTCCTCTGGGTCGCGGCAAGCGCCGGAGTTGTGCAAGTAGGCGCATGGCACCTTGCCTGATTATGGCTTCAAGTGCCCCGCGTGCAAAGGGAGCTGGTCGACAGCCTTGTCCTGCCCAGCTGGGCGAAAGTAGACCGCGTTCTTCGCGTTGGGCAGAATGTTGCAACGCTTCAGCATGGCCCCGACGTTGCTGTTGGAGAGGCTCTTCGGGAAGGCTGGCAACATCACGTCAATCAGCGGCGCCGTCGTGCTCTTCGAGGCGCCGGGGCCAGTGGCGGCAAACGCCCACTGCTTGCGAGTCGGCCCGGCCGCCATGCTGCACTCGTTGTCCCCGCCAAACCCAGCCTGGCCACCGGCGAACTTTGCGGCGCCCCATCTCGCGTGCGCCATAGCCTGCATCTGCGTCGGATCGAAGAATGCCTGCGGCGGAGGCAGGGAACCAGACAGGGCAAAGTCGCCTGAACAATTAGAAACTTCTCGAGCAGCGCGGGCCGCGCGCGAGGCGCCCCTAGAGGCGAGCAGGCCTACCCTCGACGTTTGCGTTCCCCCCGCCGCGCCTTGAGTACGCGCATTAACGCTCGCGGGGCCCACTTCTCCCCGCGCTCATCGCGAAAGAAGTCCATCTCGGACGGCGCGCACCGCCGCGACGACCTCGTTCTCCTCCACCTCCTCAGCGTCGGCGTGCCAGCGAGCGATGGCCATGGCAAGAATGTACATAAGCGGCGTCTTGCCAAACTTGGCCTCGCCAAGTGTCAGCAGCGCTCGGCGACGTTCAAATATTCTGGCCGAGTAGTATGTCTCCTTCACCGCAAAGTGGCCCCTGTCCCTGATCTCCCGCAGCGCACGGTCAATCAGTTCGCGCCTGAAGTTGTAGATGGGGGGGTCGACGAGCTGGTGCTCGACCCAGAGCATTTGCTCGCAATCGAAGTCGCCGCGTGGAGCATCCGCCATGACGAAGGCAAACCGGCAAACCCCGCGGTCAACTTCTTCTGCTTTTCGTCGACGCTCTCGTCGCTCCCTGGCAGGCCGGCCGCCGGCGCAGCGGCGGGCCAATCGTACTTCAAATTATTGAAGAACACGCCGCCCATGGCGTCGAGAAGCAGGTGCGTCGTTTTCAGAGTCGCCCAGCGGTCGCGGGTCCACTGGGGGGCATGCGTTTCGCCAGCGATCAATTCCCGCTTGATGGCGGAAAACTTCTCGACGTCGAGGAACTTTATGAACTGCGCTGCACATTGAGGAACATGGGGATTCCCCGTTTCACGGGGAACCCCAGCGGTGGTTGCGGGCCGCTGTAAGCGCATGGCTTCATGATCTCACGGTTTGCATTCCAGTCGACAATGGAGACGTCGCCAGGGGACGCAGCGACGTCGACGGCGTAGCTGGTGCCTTTCTGCGCGCGGCACTCCCATTGCTGGATGATGGGGAAGTCCCGCGCAGTGGCGTTGCCTGGGATGTCTATCGAACCAGCCATCGCGGTTTCAGTGAGCGCCGTGGAAGGTATCTCTCCATTCGCCTTGGCGAACCATCGGTGGAGGACGTCCTCGACGTGGTTCGGGCGATCCATGGCGCTGCCGAGGGTGAGCGCTCCCATGGCCGCCACGTTAGCCATGTCAGCAGTCAGGCATAGCGGCTGAGATATTAAAAGGCCAGAGATTTTGTGCCAGTATCGCTCGCAACGGCGACGGCGGCGGCGGCGTCGGGCTAACTGAACCCCAACGGGGGGGAGGGGGGGATCTGGTTTGAGATTTCCCCGCGCGCCAGGGTAGTGAAAGTTTTGGACTTATCCCGGTGCCTCCTGTGAGCGAGAGCCAACGGCCATCGCCGCGGGAGACACCTTGAGCAGGGGCGCGCCGACGCAGCGCCCAACGCCCTCTCATGAGTTCCGTCATTGTTTCGCAGTCCTGGGAAGCAGCGGCAGCGTTTGGCCAATTACCCACAGGTAGGGGGGGATCTCTTTGAATGTCCCCTTACACGTCGAAGCAGGGGGGCTTGTTTAAGACCCCCTACGTGTCGAAGCGACCGAAGGCGGGGCCCACCCCCGCGGCCTTTGCGAACGACAACCAACGGCCACCGCCACGGGAGCCATCCTGTGCGCTGGCGCGCGCAAAGCGGCACGCCTTCTGGTGAGCCTTGGGCTGTCAAAGCCAGGCGGCTCAATGCGCCAGTATGCACGTCAATCGTGAACCACTCGTGAGCTGCCCCGTGCAGGCGCGCTCGGGCTCCTCATTGGGGCCCCGCGCAGCCATCCCGAAGTGATGACGTACCCCCTCGAGATCCACCTCGATCCATGGTGAGCCAAGCCCACCTCTGCTTGTCCTTTGGCGTGGCCCAGCGGTTAAACCGCCCCTGCATCGTGCGGAAAACCTGCAGGGCAGCTTGGGCCTGATCGAGTTCGGTCTTGAGCTCCTCGGCGCGCTGCGCTTGCTGCCTGCTCTCCTTCGTGAGCTTCTGGTTCTCTTTCTGCAGCTGCTGGACCTTCTCTGCCTGGTCCCGCGCGTGCGTGGACCCGTCTGAGAGCGTTTCCCTGAAGAGAGAGGGATAACGAGAACGGCGGAAAATGCGATGAGGAAGTCTCGGGGGGAACCAAAGAAACCAGGAAGAAGCCGAGGAAGAGAGAGGAATCAACACAGGGAGGACGATGGGGAGAGTAATAGCGAAGAACAGGATCTGCAGGGGCTGGACAGCAGGCGGAGGAAGATGAAGAAGACGACCGAGGATGGATGGTCAACGGAGGATCGGTCAGCGAGAGTGCGAATGGGTGCCTCAACGATCGATGCGAAATTCGTGGGTGCTGGGGGGAAGGTGCTCTCTCTCACTATATATATATATATATATATCTATATATATATATGTGTATAGAACGCGTTGCAGCCATATGTGTGTATGTGGTATTCGCCGTCGCGCTCTTCCATATCGCTCGAATCTCGGAACCATCGATCGCCCTTCGCGTTCCACATGTCTTCATTTGAGCATATCCCGGGACATCACCGCTGCGTTGTCACGCTCAACGTTGGGCGGCGGAGTTGGTAAGCACATGGGGCAACCACCGTGTTCTCCGTCGTCGTCGACTGATCCAAACTGCGAAAATTCGGAGCTATGGGTGTTATCGGAAGTCTCTAGTGATATCTAAATAGCAATCGCAAAGGGTAACAACTATATCACCAGTGACGAAGGTCGCATGGGCCAGTGCACCGTCTCGTCCTCACGTCTTGCATAGCCTCGCTCCTCTTCACCCCCATTCCTTTTGCCCTTCCCTCCACGTGCTCGCCTCAGTGGGGCAGCCCTTTGCTCATTCATACGCGCAGTCAGTCCCATCTGTATACCATAGCTCCCCCCGCGCACATCAACTTGCTATTGCGAAGGCCTTACGGCTGGTGCCGCCGATCCTAAAAGGGGGACGATGACGACGTTTTAGCCTCTTGAGTGTGCTCTTGGGGCTCTCTTGTGGGCCTTTTGGGTGCCTCATGTGGGTTTCTTGTGCGCTCCTTGGGGCTTCATGGGGCCCCTTGGGGCGGAGTGGCGCGAAATGTCGGTCAGTCCTCTTTCTTGGGAGCTGTCTTGGGCCGTCTTGGAGGCTTTCAGGCCGCCTTGGGCCATCGGAGTGCCCTCTTGGGAGCCTCTGGGGCCGTCTTGGGGCGATCTTGGAGTTTCCTGCCCCCGCGCACATCGAGATGATCCTTCGATTCGATTCGCTTCGTCGCCCACCTGCGCGCAGGATGCTGTGCGACGCTGGGTTCCTCGGCCGCATGCTGCGCTACGACGCCGCGGCGCTCCAGGCCGCGCCCGTGCTGGCGGCGTACGTGGCCGCGGAGCGGCTCGGCCGTGCTTCGGCCCAGGTCGCAGGACGCCAACTACAGTCGGCCCTGATTAGTAGGTCGACCCTGCCAGCTCAAGGGTACCCTTGTGTCCTGTGCCTCGCGAAACGTGCCTTCTTACACTCCTATGGCGATGTGGCTTTCGGAAGGGTCTTGTGTCCTCTCGCGTGTCCTCTCCAATCAAGTCCGACTGTATACATCTGCACCGATCCTGGCCAGGCAGGTCCAGGGCTCAGAATTGGTGCATGCGGCCTCCTGTCTTGGGCAGGAGGGTCTATACACCGATCCTGGGCTCAGGATCGGCCTGGACAGGACTGGTGCAGGTGCGGCGTCTTCGGTGCCGTCGTCGTCGCCACCGTTATAGGAGTCACCCTGGGAGCGGAGATGCACAGAGGAAGCTGCACGAAATTCCCCAAGCAGTGCTTGAATGTAGGGCTCTTGGCACACCAAATGCCCTTGGCCACCTCCGCCCATATGGATAAAATAGTTAGAAGTGAAACCAGTCTTGACGAGCTCCTCATGAATAACAAGGGTAATCAGCGTTGCTGCATCATGCCACCCCGCACTAAGTCCGGTAGTTGTGATCGCGATCAAATCGTCCACGATGGCAGATCCTCCCTGAAGTTTGGCCCCCTCGCCCGTGACAGCTCGAGACAGTGTAGGGAGGGCAGCCCAGCTCTCAGAACGGTCGTCGGGGGGACCTCTCAAAGTGCTGGAGGTACGAAACGGCCTTGCGCTGGCGGACGCGCTGCTGCAGGCCTCTGGCGCACCTCGGCACGAGTGGGAGCGCAGCCACGCGACAAACGGCACGTCGCCGAGCGGCACGCCGGCCCGAGATCCACCCGTGGGCTGCGCACCGCACGGGCGCGCCCACCATCGCGAACCACCTGGACGCCGACAGCCTAGGGCTCCATCGGCGGAAGGCCTGGGCAGGAGCACCCGGGGGCAGAGGAGGGCTGGCCTTCGACGCAGCAAGAGGGAAAGTTGGCACCGCATCCGCTGGTGCCTGCGATCGGTCGATGGTGTCTTCCTCCTCCTCCCCCGTGGCTCGAACCACTGCCAGTGGCCCAGCGGCTGCAGCTCGGGAGGCGGGCAGTCGCGCTCCCCCAAGGCCCAGCTTGCGCCCGACGCCCGCGCGCGCCGCGCGCCTCGAGGGCGAGCGACAGCCCGCGACAGCGGTCGCCACCCCTGGCGCCGTGCCGTGGGTGTCGCCGACCTAAGCCCTTAGGGGCAGGGGTTGGAGTAGATGGGGTCGGCCCTCCGTCTGTGCTGTTTTACATCAGGCGCCTCCCACGGCCCCACCTCATTGTTAGTGATCTGATGCTCCCTACATTGCTTCGTTCCTTACCTTTTCCCTAATGAACCTCCCTCCACCTCGGGCCCGCAGCCGAGGTGGAGGGGCAGGACAGGTGGCTGCACGACGACAATCGACCGCCACGAGTGAGTGAGTGAGATGGGGTCGGAGGATCGTGCCGCATCCCCGATGCATCGACGAGGCGGCTCGATGTGGAGCACGGTGCTCTCCACGCCGATGTCGTCGATGCATCGGCGATGCAGCGGCGATGCGGTGCAACCCTCGGGCCCCATCTGCTCGGACCCCATCTGGGAGGTCTCCAAGTGTGGGGGAGCTGGAGGCCGACAACCGCAGGCTGAGGGCGGACCTTCTGGAGGCGGCGAAGAGGTCTTCCTCCAATTCCTCCTCCCTCGTCCTACCTGAAGGGCTTTTTCGCCTTCTCTGCCGGTGGCCTACCCTTTCTGATTGCCTGCACGGCGTTCGTTGGGTTAGATGGTTGACCGGCTGGTCACTCGACAGGGGGGTCAACTCGGATGGTTGGCTTGTTGTCCAGATGGCGGGTTTGGAGTCTGATCGGCTGGTTGCTTGTTGGTTCACATGCGATATCCCCAGACGGCATGGAGAGCTCACTGTATGAAGGTCTCACAGGGTCAGGGACCAGCTCCTATTCATATTGAATCGGGATTCCCCTCCCTGTGCGCTCCCATTCGCATCACTGTCGCGTGTGCATCTGTCGTATTTCGAAGTCTGATCGCTTCGGAGCGAGCGTGTGGAGCACATTTAAGACGACTGGCGGCCTCGGGAGCGCGCATCCGTCGGCACTGACGAGGGCTGGTGGCTTTGGGAGCGTGCATCTGCCGGAACGTACAATGGAGGGTGGCCTCGAGAACACGTATTTGTCGAATTTGACAAGGATGGTGGCGACGGGGGTGCGCATTCGTTGCTCTTTGCAAGGTATTGTTGCATGCAGCTTCTTGTTCATGTCGGCTCCTCGCAAGCAGGCTTGGATGTGCGCCAGTAGCATGCAAGCAGGCTGAAGCCGTGCGGCGGCTTGAAGGGGTTCCGAGGGGCTCTTGAGGAGAGGTGCAGGATTAGCCAGGAGAAGCCAGAGAGCTCTATGGATCCTTCAAGCCTGCGTCAGCATACGATCATCGAAAGAGACAGTCACGAAGACGGGGCAACTGGGGGCAGACCAGTGTTGGTTGAAGTGAGGTCCATGAGAGCCCGAAGAGGGCACCGCCCGAGAGGACCCCAACCAAAGTCGCTCTCAGCGAGGCGGCAGCTGTAGAATGTCCTGGGAGGTAATTCGTGCAAAGCACTGTGATCTAGATCAGACCAGCGCCTTAGTTCATCAATGCTGTATCGTATGAGCTGCATCCGCAACTGCCGGATGGGTGGGCGGACCATCGTTTGCTTTTTGGGCCATGTAACGCGTCATTGCCGAGACAAAGGATTACACGCGCTTGTCCCGGCGCAAACTATGGCATGCAGTGTTGTCTGGGCGAAGGGTGACACGCGGCGTTGCCAGGACAAATGATGGCACAAGGCGTTGATTAGCCAAATCATGACACGTAGCGTTGCCAGGACAACTGATGGCATGCGGAGCTCCCCTCCTTGATGAGGATAGTTAATTATAGACATGGGCTCGAAAAGAACATAGATCCTGAAGGTTGCACAGAAATCAACTATCCACAGCTTCACCCTAGGGGGCCACTTGGGCTACCCAATGGGCCTCTTGGCGGTTTCTTGGTGGAACTTTGATTGCATTGGGGTTACTTTGGGGGGAGCTCCCAGGGCGTCTTCGAGGTCCCCCTCTTGGGCCCCTCCTGGGCTCCTCTTGGGAGCCTCTTGAGCTGCCTTGGTGGCCGCTTGGGTCATCTTGCAGCCCCGTTGCTTCGTCTCGGGGCCCTCCAAAGGGCGTCTCGGGCCTCGAGGCCTCTTGGGCAGAAGTTCTGGAGGTCCTCGCGGACAGCTGCGGCATCCATCATCTACGAGGGGAGCTGGCGACTTCAATCTTCCCGTGCAAACCTCGATGCTTCTGGAATACTCTTGGGGGGCCATTTGGGGGCCTCTTAGACGCGAGAGCAACGTCGTCTTGGGCCGCCTCGTCTGCGGCGAGGGTCTTGCCTGGCCCCCCGTGGTGGTTTCTTCAAGTCCTCTGGGGGATTCTCGGGTGGGCTTTCTGTTCGTTTGGGGCGCCATGTTGGGGGGTGAAGCTCCTCCCTCTCCCCTGTCGTCGCCTCGGCGCCCCCGCGATGCCGCCGTTTGGGTCTCACGCATCTTGATGGGGGGTGCACGTCCTCGGCGTTCAACGTGATGGGTTCTGACAGAGGCCAAATCGGGTGTCGAGGATTCCCCCTTCCCCGCCTTCTTAGAAAAAGCTGTCGGGGCAGGCTTGGCGCGCGCCAGTACGTTCCTATGCCAGCACCGCGGGGATTGATGCGCAGGCCGCACGGAGTGGCCTCGCCAAGACACTTTGCCCTCGTGTCGGGGCGTTCAGCTCGAGCAGTGCTGCGCCCCGAAAGCCCCGAGGAGGCATTGAAGGGTACCAAGGCCCTGCCTTGGTAGCGTGCGCAGGCAAAACTCGTCGTTCAAAGCTTTGGTGCTCTGACAGCGGGCGTGAGCTGCTTGGGCGAGGCCGCTCCGTGCGGCCCCTACAACCGAAGCCAGGTTCCCGCATGGGGGCCTCCGTTTCACTTCGGCTTCACCCCCCTGATTCCCGATGCGCCTGGGTAACACTACACACGACAGTGAATGTGCGCATGCGCATGTATTCTAAAGTCACCCCGAACTACACAAACATAGTCGAACACAACATGTACATCCATCACGCGCTTCATACACATGTATGTCCACATTCACAGGTCTATTCAAGCGTATACATTCCGTACATTCGTCATGCTTTGGTTGGCAAGCATGAAATTCATGTAAAGAAAAATCAGAAAGCAGAGCACACGTATGAGCTGCGACAGCGGCGGACTACGATGGCAGCATGTGGAGACGGCGGCAGGGGCGGGGTGGGGCGGGGTGGAGGGGGCGGCTTGCCCTATGCGGCAGGAATACTTCGACCCGGAGCCCACGCACCGGAAAGCTCTCCCGAAGAGGAACGGTTGGGCGACGTCCAGCGCTCGCTTCTCGGGCCAGCTCGCGCAGAGGCGGCAGTGCGGCCTTTTTTGAGACAGCGTGTTTGTTGCTGGAACGTCGCAGGGGCGGTGCCGCCGGACGTGTTGTGATCGATGTTGGTTGGGGTGGTTTGACGAGTTGTCCTGTGGTTCCCGTAGTACAGCCCTACGTGCCATCAATGCTCGGGGGCGGACAGAACCCCATAGTGACACGTCGATTAGTGAGTTGTCCGTTTTCGGTTCTCGAGAGGGCGCCGCGGCCGTTATTTTCCAGGCTTGCGTCCGCCAGGTTTGGGTCTCAGGTCGTTTTCACTAAACCACGTTTTACTAAAGGGAGGTCTGCCCATCCCCGAAATGCGTGTGTGTTCGAGTGTTACCTTTGCGTCCTCGTTATCGTTATTTCATTGTTCTAGGTGGATCTGGATCTGGCCACCCATACCACTCGATCTGTGAATTGTTACGGCTGCGAAGGCGGGCGGAAGGACTCTGACGGGCGCGGAGTGTTTGCGTGGCCTCGGGGCTACTCTCGCCTCGCTCGCGGGCGACTTGTATTGCCGCCTTGCGGACTCGGGGCCGCACACGTCGCCGGCCTCTGCAGGCATTCCCTGGCGGCCGCAGGGCACAATTGCAGCCCTCCGCAGGGCCATCCTTCCCGCACCGACTGCGTCCGTGCGGACCTGTCCGCCGTGGCGGAGTCCGACAGGTCGGCCTTCGCCGGGAGCCCAGCCCAGCGATGCGCGCGGCCCTGCTAGTAACTGATGCTGTGGCGTCGGACGCGCGGAGCCTCCATTATCCGCCGGTTGGTGGCCGCGCTTGATGGGCGTGGCCGGCGGCCGCACCGTGCGACGCCGCCACGCCGCCAGTGCGACCCGTGGTTGAGTAGACGCGCTGTTCTGGCGAGGGTTGCTGTTGCGCTACTCCGAGATCCGATGTCTTGAGTTTCTCAATGTGGGGACCCCAGAGGTCTCACCTTTTCCCCAAGGCCGGCTCTTCATCCTGAGCCTTTTGTCGACAGTCCCGGGGCCAGGCGAAGGCCCCTTGAGCCCCCTAAGGCCAAAAACAATGAAAAACTTCCGCATTGAGTTTCTCGAGACGTTGGAGGTTAAGGAGCGGGAGCAGCCTGGTTCTGCTCCGAGAGCTTGCGCGGCTGGGCGCGATTCGGTAGTTCCGGCCCGCGCCTCCGCCGACGCCGCTTCTGCTGCACCTTTGTCGGCTGCGCTCGCTGCAGCACGCGCCCGTGCCGTGCCTCGGCCGCCGCAATGGTGCCGCCGAAGACGCTGGCCGACGGCTGCGACAAGCCCTGCCGTTCGCGCTCGCGGCGGCTGGGCAGCGCGGCGGCCAAGCTGGTGCCTGCAGGGGGGAGCGCCGCGCTTACCGCGGCGCGCATGGCTGGGAGTCGGCCGTGGTATCCCGCACGCGCTGCAGGGTCCCCGCCGCGCGGTTGTTGTCTCGAGGATCTGAGACGGGCCTTTTTGTAGCGGCCGCCGGCGCCCACGGTGGGCGAGAAGTGGCAGGAAGCGTTCGGTGGGCTGCTGCCCTCGAACGGCCGAGACTCGACGCGTGAACACTCGGTGAGCTCCGCCTCCTCTACCATCCGAGCTGCTTGGGCAGGGTCATCTGCGCGCGCGCATGCCCGAGCGAGACCGACCCTAGGCGGGAGCACGGGCCCGCACGTGTGGGTGTGCGTGCGTGTGCGTGCGTGTGCGTGTTCGCGTTTGTGTGCGTGCGCGTGTGCGTGTGCGCGTGCGCATGCGCGTGCGCGCGTGCGCGTGCGCAGGCTTGGGCGGGAGCCCCAGCCCGAGCGCGAGCGCGAGCCCGACCCCGAGCCCCCGCCCGAGGTGCAGTGGTGACGCTATGTCGCAATGGTGACGCGAATGGCGCCCTCTCAAGGCGCTCTCAGCTCAAGACGCTTCAGATATGTTAACCTGCGAACAAGCAGTTCACTACCAGCAGTGTTCACCTGACTGGTGATTTGGGTGGGAGAGGTCGGATGCTTGTTATGGCGCAAGCGCACATATGCCTATGCCCCCCCCCATCCCCGCTCCCCATCTCATGCTGCCCACCCCCTCCTCCGCCTCGGCCCGCCCCTCTACCACTGTCCATCCCCCCTCCTACACGAGGCTGGAAGACTGCGAGCCGCTGACCCTGAAGCGCGTGCAGCGGGCCAGCCTCGCCACAGCCGCCCTCTTCAAGTGGTCCGCGGTCACACTGGCCCCTAGGGTGCGGCATCGTCCTTGTCGTCATCCTCCGTTCCTAGCGTCGTGTGGGCTCGCAGAAGTTAGGATGCAACTCCTGGGAGATTCAACTCAGCATCGGCACTGGTCTTTCCTTGCCCGAAAACCGGCCTGTTCCCGCCTAAGCTTGCTTCATCTGATTCGAATCGCGGTTTGTTTGCGCTCATTTGGTGCATTGGCCCTTTAATGGGGCTTAGTTGCCCTTATTACTCCCTAACATAAGAGTGGGCGCACTGCAACGTGCGAAACCGCACAGTCATAATTTAACAGGTGGCTGATGGCCGGCAAATGCACTCAGCCCGCCGATATTGGTTCTATTGTTTGTGAAGTCGCACGTTCGGTATGCACGAGCGCAGGACAGGTATCGCTTCGGCCTCTGTCCTCCTCATATTCCTCCTTCTCCTCCACCTCCTCCTCCTCCATTCCTTCCCCTTATGAATAACTCCTCACTGTCGCACCCCTAGGCCCGTCCAAAGGGCGGGCTGGGCGTCTCGCCTGAGACTTCCTCACCGTTTATGATCCTGAAGCTTCGAACGGCGCAATTGTTTTTTTGCAGATGGAGGGCGGGTCGCTTCCAAAATGTGGCTCTCGCCCCAGCGGAGCGCACATTCGTTTTAAAAATGTGCTCGGGTTTCGCAGATCAAGGGCGGGTCGTTTCATGTGGTTCTCGCTTTAGCGCCGCGTACATTCGCTATACACATTGGCAAGAGTTTCACGGATTGAGGGCGGGCCGTTGTCAAGGAATGTTTTTTTTCTTAGTGCCACGCGCACTCGTTTCAAACATGTGCAAGAGCTTCACGGATGGAGGGTTTGCCGTTTTCAAAATGTGGTTCTCGCCTCAGTGCCGCGCTCATTCGTTCAACAGACATGGCAAGAGTTTCATTGATCGAGGGTTGGCCGTTTTCAAAATGTGGTTCTCGTTTTAGCGCCGCGCACATTCGTTTACACATGTGCAAGAGTTTCACGGATTGAGGGCGGCTCGTTTTCAATATGTGGTTCTCCTTGTAGTGCCGCGTGCATGCGTTTTACACATGTGCAAGAGTTCCACGGATTTTCGCATGACCAACGTGCCAGAAGTGTTGTTGTGGAAGGATGCAGGATTGTGAGGGCGCAACGGTTACGTTGATTCGCGGTGTTGAAGTCCCAGGAGTGGTGTTCTGGCAGGACGTTGCATCGTCAAGACGCAACAGTAATGTTGATTCGTGGCGCTGGAGTCCCCGCAAAGGTGTTTTGGCACACGTCAGCGTCATCAAACTGTTTTCTCCCACAGAGGCAATTCCTTCTTTGGAAATGAACCCGTACAGGGGCCTATGAAGAGGGAGCTTGGAGGTAGGGTTGATTCCAACATCGTTGATGAGTCTTCGGTTTCCACTGGTCCTCCTCCTCCTCCTCCTCCTCCTCCTCCTCCTCCTCCTCCTCACTCCGCGCGCGCGGGACGACGAGGGCGCGACGACAACGATCCCCCGCGCATGAATTCGAGAGGAACCCAGCTTTGGTGATGAGGCCACTCCAAGAGGCCCAAGAGTACCCAGGGATGCCTCAAAGACCCGATCTCCGAATCTCTACCCATCTTGGCTATTCTGGGATGTTACATTCAGCATCGTCGCTCGTAAATCCGTGGTCGAAGACAGGCTTAATCAGGCACAGTCCTGCTTGATGCTGCATGCTACTGCTTACTCGGACTTGGTTCTGGATTTATTTTCCACGCCTCGCGCAACCCCCCTAGCTGGGAAGCCGTCATACCCCGAGAGGGGAAATACAACAGAGGAAATAGAGGAGAAATAGGAGGAGGGGGAGGAGGAGCGAGAAGGGAGAATAGAGGAGGGAGAAGGGAGGATAGAGGAGGAGGAAGAGGATTAGGCGGATCAGGAGGAGGAGGAAGAGGGGGAGGGCGAGCAGGAAGGCCAGGGATCTTTTGGATGCTTCTCGGCGTCTCTGCAGATGTATTTCCCAACCATCCTGTGGTGTTGTGTCCTCGTTTTGAAGGGACGGTGCCCCGCGTCCTCCTCTCCTCTCCTCCTCTCCTCTCCTCCTCCTCCTCCCCCTCCTCCTCCATTCCTCCATTTCGGCACACCCCTCACGCGCTTCGTGGCCCCATAGGGAGCTCCACCGAAGGTCACAGTGGGTGTGCCCGCATGCGTCCCGCACACCCATTTCGGCACACCTCTCACACGTTTCGTGGCCCCATAGGGAGCTCCACCGAAGGTCCCAGTGGGTGTGCCCGCATGCGTCCCGCACACCTATTTTGGCACACCCCTCACACGTTTCGTGGCCCCATAGGGGGCTCCACCGAAGGTCCCAGTGGGTGTGCCCGCATGCGTCCCGTACGCCCATTTTAGCACACCCTTCACAAGCTTCGTGGCCCCATAGGGGGCTCCACCGAAGGTCCCAGTGGGTGTGCCCGCATGCGTCCCGCACACCCATTTCGGCACACCCCTCACACGTTTCGTGGCCCCATAGGGAGCTCCACCGAAGGTCCCAGTGGGTGTGCCCGCATGCGTCCCGCACACACATTTCGGCACACCCCTCACACGTTTCGTGGCCCCATAGGGAGCTCCACCGAAGGTCCCAGTGGGTGTGCCCGCATGCGTCCCGCACACCCATTTCGGCACACCCTTCGCACGCTTCGTGGCCCCATAGGGAGCTCCACCGCATGCGTCCCGCGGGGCACACTCACACGTTTCGTGGCCCCATAGGGGGCTCCACCGAAGGTCCCAGTGGGTGTGCCCGCATGCGTCCCGCACACACATTTCGGCACACCCCTCACACGTTTCGTGGCCCCATAGGGAGCTCCACCGAAGGTCCCAGTGGGTGTGCCCGCATGCGTCCCGCACACCCAGTTTGGCACACCCTTCACACGTTTCGTGGCCCCAGAGGGAGCTCCACCGAAGGTCCCAGTGGGTGTGCCCGCATGCTCGGCACACCCCTCACACGTTTCGTGGCCCCACAGGGAGCTCCACCGAAGGTCCCAGTGGGTGTGCCCGCATGCGTCCCCGCTGTTCATGTCGGCCCACCCCTCACACGTTTCGTGGCCCCATAGGAGCTCTGCCGAAGGTCCCAGTGACACAGTCCGCATGCGTCCCCGCCAATCATGTCGGCACACCCCTCACGCGCTTCGTGGCCCCATAGGAGGCCCGCCGAAGGTCCCAGTGGCACAGTCCGTATGCGTCCCCGCCAATCATGTCGGCACACCCCTCACACGTTTCGTGGCCCCACAGGAGTTCGGCCGAAGGTCCCAGTGGCACAGTCCGTATGCGTCCCCGCCACTCTCAGATCGGCACACCCCTCACACGTTTCGTGGCACCATAGGGGCTCCGCCGAATGTCCCAGTGGCACAGTCCGCATGCGTCCCCGCCACTCAGGTCGGCTCACCCCCCACACGTTTCGTGGCCCCATAGGAGCTCCGCCGAGGGTCCCAGTGGCACAGTCCGCATGCGTCGTCGCCGTTCATTTCGGCCCACCCCTCACACGTTTCGTGGCCCCTATAGGAGCTCCGCCGGGTCCCCGTGGCGCAACAGTGCGCACGCGGCCCCGCCATTCATGTCGGCACACCCCTCACACGTTTCGTGACCCCATAGGAGCCCCGCCGAAGGTCCAGTGGCACAGTCGGCATGCGTCCCCGCCATTCATTTCGGCACACCCCTCACGCGTTTCGTGGCACCATAAGGAATTCCACCGACGGTCCCCGTGGCGCAGTCCGCATGCGTCCCCGCCACTCATGTCGGCACACCCCTCACACGTTTCGTGACCCCATAGGAGCTCCGCCGAAGGCCCCCGTGGCACAGTCCGCATACGTCCCCGCCACTCATGTCGGCACACCCTTCACACGTTTCGTGACGGAGCTCAGCCGAAGGTCCCAGTGGCGCAACCCCGCCAGCAATTTCGGCACACCCCTCACACGCTCCGTGGCCCCATAGGGAACTCCACCGAAGGTCCCCGTGGCGCAGTCCGCATGCGTCTCCCTCACCCAGTAAAGCGTTTCGTGGCCGTATATGGAGCCCCACCGACGGTCCCAGCCAGCCAGCTAGCTCTCTTTGCTCCGCGCAGCGGACGTCCCGCGCGCGTCGCTGGGACCTTCCTCCGGGGCGACCAGCGCGCGTCGCGGGGACTCCGTGCTGCGTTCTGCCCAGCGCCTCGCTCGCCCGTCGTCGCTCTGCCCAGCGGTAAGAGCCTTGCCCGCTATCAGCCAGCCAGCTAGCTCTCTTTGCTCCGCGCAGCGGGCGACCCGCGCGCGTCGCTGGGACCCCTCCCGGGCGACCTGCGCGCGTCGCGGGGACTCCGCGCTGCGCTGCGCCCGCAGCCTTGGACTTTTGAGTACGCGGGCTAAGAGGGAGTATAAGAAGGGGAGGAAGCGGGCGCGATCCTCGCGGGGGGGCGCGCCGACATTGGCGTCGCGGCGCGCGGGCGATGCCGTCGGGGAGTCGTGGGAGGCCACGCCCATCGTCACGAATACTCAGCAGCAGTCATTCTCAAACTAGCAGTCATTCTCAAACTATTGACATTCATGTACACTTTCACCATGCTTCGTCATACTCGCATTCATGCACGTAGACTCGCTCGCACGCGTATTCGTTCGCAGTCATATACATTCGCGTTCAGATTCACCCGCGCTCAGTCTTCCTACGTACTCAGATCAATCGTTTTCGTTCGCGTTGTGTACCACGTCACTCATTTTGGCGCACCCCTGTCACGGTTCGTTGCCTCATAGGGATCGCCACCGAAAAAGTGCATCACCATTGCGGTATTCACACCTGCACATGGTTGGGTCCCTCGTCAGGCTAATTCGAAAGCTTGTTGTAGACCTGTTGGGGCGTCTGGGGTGCGTCCTGGCGGTCCTGGGGGCCTCTTGAAGCATCTTGGGTGCCTTTCGGGGGGGCCTCTTCGGGCCTCTTGGGGGTCTCTTGGGAGCCATTTGGAGGCATATTGAGGGCATCTTCGAGGCCTCTCGGGGCGTCCTGGGCGCCTCTTGGGGGCCAT